CATAGCACTCCAGGTGGGTTCGGGCAGCATCGTATCGTAGCCATTTCTGCATTTCCGTCAATTGATGTGGAACCCATCGTGAAGCAATTTTTCTCATGGACAGGCGTTCCTTCAGAATGTGCAGCACAGTCGTATGCGCTAATCCTGTTTGTCTGGCCAGCTGACGAATTGTTTGGCGGCGATCACTGTCCATTAGTGCGGCAACAGCTTGCACATCTGCATCGCTGACACTCGACACTCGGACGACCTGGCCGCAGCATGTCTGCCACGTTTTGGCGTCCTTCATTGAATGCTTTCACCCATCTTGCTCTTGCTACGGTTCTGTAAGGCAATGCAGATTCCCCGCAAGCCTCTTGAAGCCCTTGAAGCCCTTGATGACACTGTCGTGCTGTACGACCTCTGGCACATTCAATTTTTATATCCAACATCGTTGTTCTTGTTTTGAAAACATCCTGACAACACTTACTTTAGACCGCGAGCTAATACAAGGATTCGTTCTTCTTCGCGTCACTCCGCATGCGCGTGACGTAGGCAGGACGAGTCTTTTTGCTGAGAGGTAAGGTAGGTATGTAGTTCACGTGTGGTATACGCGATATTCTTTGGTTTTGTTGCGTAGCGTTTTTTCAGCTGTGTTGCCACTATTAAGTTCCAACCTCGTACATGTTTCCCATGCATCTCTTAATATTTTTGAGCAACTCTTTTCTTCCAAAACATGTTAACTTGTAGATCCTGTTGCAGCTCCAGAATTATTTTGGCATAATCAAAAGTTCAAAAAATGCTGTAATAATAACCACCTGCAAAAAATAATGAGCTGGATCAATTCAGAAGGTTAAAGAACCGCACAATCCACTATATTAACTGAAATTCCTTGGAATCGGTAAAGTATAATTTTAGCGTAGCTTAATAGTGTCCGCTATACATTATTGGTTATGTATCATGAGACTGGCGATAGAAGACGAGGTTGTTCCGCTAAATTTTGTCGTTTCTATCATGCACTGAGACAATTAAGCCTAAATTTTATTAGTTTAATTAGTTATTATACTTATGTCTATTTCTTGCACATGCTTAAGGGTTATCAGAGTCCTGAATAAATAAATCTTCACATATACTTAAGGCTTATCGAGTGATGGATTTATGTATAAGCTACACAAGCTATAGCTTAGAGCCTCCCCAAAAAATTAAAATATTTAACAGACTTATAAAGGGCCCCATACCTCAAATAGCTTAGGGCCTTATCAAGTCTAAATCTGGCTGGCATTAGATATTTGACCACCTAATGCAGTCTCTGCAGGTCCTAAATTCTACTACCAAGTGCTTCCCTAAGTTCTAAATTTTTGCCGCCCCAAAAATTTCGCGTTCCAGCGCTCTCCCCAAATTCTAAAAATTTTGTCATCCTTTAATTTTGTTGCTTTGCACTTCTCTAAATTCCAAAAATTTTGTCTTCCCTAAATTCGGCAATACAACATATTAACATTGGCGCCGGTTCTGGGTTTATGTGAAAACAAATCAGTTATTTTTAATTCAAATAGCACAAAATGTAATCTTTTGATTTATGAGTATCACGAATAAAATCTATTTTTAGTATATAAAAAGAAATTTTAATTAAATTTTTCCTCGTCAACATTTCTTAGAGCATTTAATCCTCACCAAGTGTAATATCAACATAAAAGTTACCATACTCTTTACTTTTCAGTTAAAAATATATAAAAAAATGTTTAGGCATTGCTGCATGTGTCGTGCTGATAAACATGCAGTGATGGACATCAGTTCTAGGACTCTTTACGTGTTGTATGAAATTGGGACTTCTAACACAGTTTACAATATTGTGCTTGCGATACTTTTTTACAAACTTCAAATCAATGAAATATGTTCATTAATCCGAAAAAATTAAGCTACCATTACCAGATTAAAAAAAAATCTCTACAAACTCACATAATATCACACAGCCCTCATGAACAGCATTTGTAGATCACATTATCAGGCTAAGTTTTTTTTTTTTTTTTTTTTTTTTTTTTTTTTTTTTTTTTAAATTTACTGTTAATTTAGGTATTAAATATATACTGTCATTTGTATCATGTTGGACAACCTGAAACAACTATTTATAGTCAATATCAAATGTTTCTAATATATCATGTATATTACAAAAATAAAGACAGTCAGCTAAACTCAGTTTTCATTTACAGTTGTTCCACTAGCAATCTGATAAATTATGGATAACTTATTCACACCATATAGGATACTGTTAAAGACATAACTTAAAATGTTAATAAAATTTTAGTTAGCAAATCAATAGCAGCAGATGGGTAAATTATTTTCTTCAAGTTTATAGAAAATGATGAAATATCTTTCCTTTAGAAGTTTGTGTCAACTTCTAAATGATGTGTTTTACAGTACATAATTAAGGAAGTTTTTCTCTCATACTGCAAAGTTAATTAAAAGTGGTTGTATTCTCAATTTAACTCCATTAAAAACTTAAGAGCTGAATATTTGTTTATATTTTATAGTATTTCTCAATACTATAAAATATAAAGGTTAATGAATTAAATTTCTACCTTATTTCGACAATCCTTCCAAAATAAATTATCACCCATAAAAACTATGGAATTAGGCTGCTTTTGCTTACCAGAATGCGATCTAATCAGATTAAAGGCAACATTCACCAATGGTGAATACTAAAAAATCCAAGATATCCTCACATTAATTTTTAATGTCATACATGTCTTTTCTGTGTGTATATATGTTATCCTGACTTACCTATGGAAACTGCAGGGGGTTCCTTGTGTTCTATGTCTTTGATGTTGCTCTTTATCAAGTAATTTTTACATCATCCTGCACGTATTTTGCTTACTTTTATATATATTTATTCATATTAATATTAGTAAAAAATGGACAAATATATATCAGTTCTTGTAGGAAATGTAACTACACATGGGAAGAACATACAAGACAGCTAATAAATCAAGGAAGACATTCTTTGGATGTTAATGACAACCAAAGAATGTCTAAGCACGGAAGTGGTATTCGATTGGTCATTCAATATTTAATCATTGTGCATTGATAAAAAAGAATATGAAGGAATAAATTTTATTAATAAAACCATCTGAATTCCAGATACTGTACATGAAAGAAAATGCATACTGTGAAGCTGCATTAAGACTTATGTATTTTACAGTATTGTAGAATTTGAAGTTATTAATTTTTGAGTTGTATAATATTTCAAATAAGAATTTATTATTATCAGCATCAAACTATGCATCAGTGTCAATGCAAAAAAATTACCCAAAAGGCAACAGTAATGTCACAAATGATCTCTGTGAAAACAAGATGTGAAAAATATATTGAAAATCTAATGTTCACACACTGTATGAAGATATATAACAGTTTCATCTTTTCCTATTCTACAAGTTAAATTTCCTGTATTAACATATTTTTCTGTAATAAAAAAATAACCATTCCGCACTCTGAAAAATTCTCAGTGTAAGCTTAATGCAATTCAAACGAAAAATTATTATGTTAAGACATACAAGAAGTTTCATAACTGATGGTAGCAGCTATTTTCAGATATCACAAGGAAACCCTTAAACATAATTCACACCTTGCACAAAAAAGGAAGGGGGCTGTTCTATATATACCACAAGAGATTTAACTTGAATTTCTCATGTCTCAAATGCACGACTTAGGATATATACGAGATTTATATGAAGCATTCTTCTAACATAGTTTTCTGATATAAAATCAGACTTTTTCTGAAGTGACTATTTTTCCCTCATATCTTGATTCTACGACTCAAATTATGCCAACATGCACAAGTAGATTTAAAAAAATTAGCTCCTCAGTATGAATTGAATTTAGTATATATTTACTGCAATTTTTTTTTTTTATTAAACATGATTTCTTCTTTTACAATTCGAAATTTAGGTTAATTTTAAATTAAATTTGCAATTATTTTCTGATTTGTTTTTAAAATTTGTATTTTTAATTTATTTTTTAAAAGTTTTTTTTTTTTTTTTTTTTTTTTGATTATAACCTAGAAATTTTTTACTATCACCTTAAAGTATTTCTAGGCGTACCCGAAAAAAAATTTGAGTTTTCATTTAAAATTTTTCAAGATGTAAATGAATTTATATAATGGTGCATTTTGAAACTTGGCATATTTGTTATAAGCAATAATAATGCCAAATGTCGTATAAACACTAAAGAATGAACGATAAACTCTTTTCCCCGCCCGCGCACAATGATAAAGTGTACTGGAAAATAGGTTACTATAAAAGAATTACGCTTGGTGCAAACTCAAAAAAGTGCACCAAAATAAATTTTTAAATTTCTTGGTAAGTTTACTGATCAAATTTTATATTTACTAATTTTACCAAAATAAAAAAATTTACATTTAGTAAAATTACCAAAATTTAATATTTAGGCATAATTTTAGGCCATAGAGTTTAAATATGAAAAAAAAAATAGGTATGTTATTTAAAGAAAAGTCTGATTTTGTGTCAAAATATATGTTAGGATAAATATTAGATTTATATAAAGCATTTTTGTAAGTCCTTTTGAGACATGAAAAATGCAAGTTAAACTTCGTCAATCAGCCCAGTAGAACGAGAGATACAGACTTGTCTCCCCTTTTTTTTCTGTACAAGTGTACAACATATCAACAATTCCTACCAAAATTACTTTCAAAAATTGATGTTTTTGTCAAACTAAATAATGCATTCTGTATGACATCTCATTAATTCTCCTAATAAGTCCACAAATTATACATCAATTGTTTCAAGCTTTGTTACATGGCAAAAAAGAATGTATGTTTATAATATGAAGTAAAACTGCCTGATTTCTAACATCAAGCTCAACCTGAATCAAATAAAAAGACTTATAAACATTCTTTCACGCTTTTAATATAGGCCTCTTCCTTTTTAATAGTTACACTGCTGGTAACTGCATTTATGAATATGTTTCATGTTATGTCCAAAGTGTTTATCAGCAAAATAATACGCCTACAATGCAAATATTTTATAACTTTAATAATTCCATACAACATGAAGAGAGGTACATAAATAAAACCCAAAACATTTTGATTAGCATAATCCAAATAATTTAATAAGTAGCTATAGTGAAAAATAATTCACAAATGCAAGAATCAAAGGGATAAATTTAGATGATTACAAATTTAAGTCGAATAGATTTTTTTTTTTTTTTTAACTGGTTTTCTCTCGCAAAGCTAATAAACTTTGCATAACTGCTAATTGTTGAAAAACTAGCCCTACTAACTATTTCAAAGATATTTGTCCATATTAAAAAATGGTCCACTAAAGAAAATAAAACACAGGGCATCATCCCCTTTTATATCAAAAATGAGTTTACAGCATATTTATAATTGTGAGTATTTAGAATAATCTAAAAGTGGTGAACTGTTATCGTTTAAAACAAAAATTACTAAAATGATTTTCAGATGTTCTGCACTTAAATACAAATTAAAAATCTTAATGTATATTAATGAAAAGAGAGAAATGTCTTTTTGAGTTTTTTTTAAATGAGCCTTTACTGAGTTACATCATGAATTGCATAGCATGCTTCAAAATGCAACACACATTTTTTAAACTTGCATGAAAAATCTATGGAATGTCTTGAGAAACAAAAGCTTCACATTTTTATTTTAACAGGAAAGTGACCATACAAGGCATGAATTATACTAAATTTTTTATTACTCTTGTAAATATAGAATACTATGATTGCATATTTGAACCAGCCAAATGAATACTGGATACATATAAAATAGGCAATATTTTTTCCAACAAAACAATTCCATACAGATCAATTAGATATATATTTTTAAATATTCTTTTTCAGTGCCAAATAGAATACAAATAATGTTATTAGTATAATTTTATAGTAATATAACAAAATAACAATATAGACATAATACAGACATTCAGGGTCTACTTAAGAAAACAATGCCCTCATATAATGATTTATATTCTGAAATATTTAATTTTATAATAGCATTATGACATGAATTTTTCAGGTGACATGCAACTACACCCCATTCGTCACATACAGTGTAACTGATAGTAAAAAATTTTTCTCCTTTTGCAAAAAGTAACTAGTCAAATCAAAATATATTTATAACATAAATATCAGCAAAATTTTCCACAACACTATATAACATTGCTCAGCAGTTTAACTTGACAATTCCACTTTAAAAAAAATCATTCATGCTGGCCAACTGAGATTACAGGACTTTCATTTACTCACATAGAGGTGTGTGGACATGTTCCTCATTGTTCTTTTTGCTATTTTCTAGAATAAGAACATGACAACACACAAGATGCTATGAAAGAATCAGTCTCAGTATACCTTTAGAACATTTTGTCAATGGCCAAAAAACTTCAGATAAGTGTTATATATATACAAATTGTCCAATGTACATTACTTTTGAATTTTTCAAAATGAGGAGAATGGTTGTTGGATTGCTGCCAAAATTTCAGACCAGCCTATGATTTGCAGCATCCTCCGCCAGACTGCTGTTGATTCTCACTCAGGTCTACACCTCTCCTTCCATCACTTGCACCTCCATTACCTGAAGTTTGGTCATTTTTAGGTAATTTCTTTGCTGCAAAGAACAGATTTAGTTCATTTAAGGCCATATAATATATATATATATGTGTGTGTGTGTGTGTGTGTGCAAAAAAATAAAGAATATGTAAAAGATTAAATTAGCAGCGTAAATTAATTTCCCTTCTCTATTCTAAAAATAGCGACATCTATTTGCACTGCGTCATTTCGAGAAAACTTTATGTCATGTGACTCATGTAATTCTAGTGATGTAAATTGAACTAAAACTCAAGCGGCCAATAATAAATTTACAGCAATATTAACTATCCAAACAAAATGCTTTGAGAACCAAAACTAACTCAGTTTGACTTAAGATTTCATCCTGAACATTACGCACTTTTTTCCTATGCTTTGCCTTAGCTGGACTGCAGTCTGTCAGCTTCTTTTCTGCTGTAAATCTATAAAAAGTGTAAGCCTTTTGGAACAGGCTCATTTAATGTGCTGACTTGTGTGTAGCCGTAAAATGCTGCTGAAAATAAAACTGAAGATTTAATCTGCCTTCGCCTCCAATTTCCTAGTCATTATGAATCAACACTTCTACGCCATCCTAATTCCTGCTTCTGAATTTATTACATATATATAACGAAAAGTAAATCATATATATGAAAGTACTTATAAGGGTTACATTAAACATTCTGGCAACTCCATTACTAACACAAAAGAAAAATATGTCAAAAAGAGATGCCCTGACTTTTTAAAGCAACCCCCCCATCAGTTGTGATCAAACCGTTAGTATTCCTCCTTCCTTCTGATTTGATGATAATGTTTTCATGAACCTTGCATAGATATATAAACTACGAATTAAAACATTTGAAGGATGCTAATAATAAATCAATCTTATTTGAAAACAATTCTTTGGCATAAATACGAAAATAATTTTGCCAAAGAATTTTGTATGAAAATAATTTTGCCAAATTTTGGTTTACACTTGAATATTCATAGTAATGAGCTTGGTGCACTTGTTTACTTAAGAGTAGAGTTTTTTTTTTAAACTTTTTGCAGAGTGGATTTTTCTTCTTTTTGATTTCATAAACATTAACGTAAGCTCATTGCTTTGATCACGCATCTTCAGCTTTCCAATAGCTACTAGTAGTGTTTTTTTATGTGCATGAAAACTGTTGAAATTTTCTTTTATACATAATGGAGTTTGTGAATAAATGGTACATTGAAGATGCTCTTTTCAAAAATGGAGGGCATACGTGAAAATACGAAAAAGAAATGACCTGTTGCAAGGCTGTTAATAATTGAACTGCTAACAAGTTAATAACTAATTTACAAATCATGTTCTGCAAAAGGATTGAAATAATCAAGGAAATAAATGAATTGAAAGGCTTAAATTCGGATTCTAAAATTAAGCTCCCTCAAGTCAAGAATATCAACATAAGGCTACTATATGGCAAGGGAGCAACGATTTTTGAAACAGACATCGGAATATTTTAGAACTGTAACTTATTAAAAGAATGTTACATCTAGGGAAATCTCCATACTTGTAAATCAAACTTACTAAGGATATGAATGGTTGCACTTTCAGAACCAAAACACAAAATATAATTTATAATAGCAGTGGACTGAGAATAACTAAAATATTGCTTGATTGCTTACTTAACAGTAACACGTTAGCTGCCATTTGTGGTTTCACTTTAAGTAATTAGAATTATGATACACCAAATGGAAATATTGAAAAAACTTCTTAATACTCAGAAACAAGGCATTCCAAAATACAGTTTTGTCAACAACTAGATACAAATGCATATTTTGTAATAAAAAAAAGGACCCTACAAAATTACAAATGTACAGAATTAAAAACTAGAGAGTGACATTAATTTTTTAAACATATTAGAAGGCATTTACTGTGTTTTCAACATTTAAGAAACTGCTCAAAATTGGATTTAATACAGGGTGATACTCTTAGAACCGATCTATTTCCCTGGGGTGTAGTTTTTTCTAAAAAGTATTCAACTTTAATGAGTTTTGCTGCAAAAGATTCAGGAAGGATGAAAATTTAAAAATTTGAAAACATCACTGACGACACATTGCAGAGTGTTGTAGCCAAGATGGAGCAGCGAATTCAATTTTGCCTGTGGTAGAAGGGTGGTCATTTTCAATACCTACTGTAGAGTAAGTGATTATAAACCTTTACCACATGGCAATCAGAGTTCCCAACAATGTTTTATAGGTGCAAGCCATCCTTCCTTGTATAGCATTTGGTGGTTTTCGTTATGTCTTCTTTATTCAGCGTTGCACGTCAAAAAACAGTATGGACTACTAAATTTTCTTCATTCCTGAATCTTTTGCCACAAACTGCATTAAAATAAGATACTTTTCAATAAAACTATAGCCCAATGAAATAGATCAGTTCTAAAAGAATCACCTGGCATTATGCTTCAAATAGTTCATGCTGTGCCTGAAAGTGTATTATGACCAAATGGAATTCAAATTCAGATACTTAAAAGAAACAACATAAATCAAATGACTTAATCAACTTTAAACTGCCATACTGCGATTCTTCCTTAAAGGTTTTTAAGTGGGATTCTAATAAGAGATTTTCTGTTTTAATGCTCAAGGCATTATAGCTTTTATCCTGTAAAATGATCACATACAGCACTGTGGCTTTGAAAGCTGCTTCTAAAAATTTTTTTTATCCAGCTGGACCTCTTGCTCCGTGATTCAAGCAAAAATTCTATTTTAAGATTTATGTCTTACAGATATCAAATGGGATAAAATTATCCCTTCATAATTACAGGACAGATGGAGTAAATGGTATATGCAACTATGTGATTTGCTGAATATTCACACAACTTCGTGTTTAATGATATTAATGAAATGTCTCAAGCATTAGATAAATGGTACAGGCAATTATGTGATTTGTGGACTACCCAAGTATCTCGCTATTTTTTTGTTGTATTAATGAAACAATGTCTGAAGTATTGAAATTATACAGTTTTACTGTTTTTTTTTATTCATCTCAGTGCTTAATGGAGCAGCTGTGTATCTGAAATTCTAGAGCTTTGAATGTTCCAAAGTAACTGCCAAGAGCACAGACGTTCCCCTTCCCAAAAATTTTTACCAAGACTCAAAATCATCGCTTGGAGTTTTAGGTTACCCGATCGATAACTACAGTTTCTTTTCCTTAAGCATAAATTTATTTGCAGACAAATTCTCTTACTGTACTTCATTGGATAAAGAACTTACACCGATAGATAATGAAAATTTAAAATAAAAAATCACTAAATATGTGGTATCACTTGCCTTCAATGAGACAAACCTACCAACGAAATCATGTCGCGTTTCCATGAGGGAACTTTCAAAAGACTAAATGTGGTGGACACAGATATATCAAGGTGAAATAATTTGCATCTAAATTGAGCGAACTCTGCAACATATCTAATGATACTACTGAAGAGAAGCTTGCAACTCAAGTTCCAAGCAGTATTCAACACTTACAATCCATGTTATAGAAAAAAACTTTAGTGGCCTAGGTAAACTTTTAAGAGTAATGTCAAACATATTTAGATTCATAAACTAAGACTTGAATTAGCACAACTGGCCTTGCAACTAAAAATGAAACATTTAATACTATGTGTTATTAGATTAAGTTATCCAAGTTATCACAAAGTGATTTTTTTTGGGGGGGGCAAAAAAGTTAAATGTAAAAATCCATTATATAACATTTAAAATTATTTGGGTTAAATCAAGCAAGTAATGAAAATGACTGCAGAGAATTAGAAGTACATCAGTAAAATCGTCATTAGACATAGATGAGATTCAACTTACAATATTACCACACAGTTAATTTTTTTCATCATGAAAAAATAGATGGAATAGATGATAATGGCATAGATGAAACTAACATAAGTAACAGAAACTTTTTTATACCTTTTAAAAGCTTAAAGTTTTATAAAATCTTTATTTCTATGACTACAGATTTTGAAAATACTTTTTTGTGGAAGAACTACAAATAGGCATGCATGCAAATGCAGTTTGGCGAGTTACGTAAATGATTAAACTCGTAGCAACAATCAGCACTGTAAAGTGATACAACGAGTGTTTGAAATGCGCAGCTGGTAGAATGTAAAAGGGCACGTTTGGTGAGTAACAAGCATTTACCACCATGCCGACAGGTATATAAAATTCGGTATACAAAACTGCAACGAAAAATGCCTCTAAGATTGTTTTTATTGGAAATACTGCGACAGGGAGAACGAAATGTCTAAGAAAATATACTTACCAAACAATGATGTCATAATTACCAAATAATGATCATAACGGAAATACCAAATTATTTACATCATGAAAAAAGTTTTTTACCCTCCAATCTGTATCAAGGTAAAAAATAAATCAGAGTTTCTGGAAAACATTCTTTCAGATGACCATTCTAGTCAAAGCGAAAACTTTGTGATTATAAAAAAAATTCACCACCAAAGACTGCATTTATTTGTTAGCAAAATCATGGAATTCTGTTTCCCATTAGTAAATGTCTAGTGTAATGTATGGCCATCTTCTCTGTTTATTGAAACTGAGAGTGATGACTGTGAATTTTCAGGTTTTAGGGTCAGTGCATCAAGGGTTAAAGCAAGAGAATTACTTTTATGCTTGAAAGAAAGAATAAACAAGGAGGCTTTGCAAGAAGATATCATTGAATGTGTGTGTTCAGATGAGCCAACACTGGTGTATCAGATGACGGATGATGAAATCACTGGCTCTGTTTTGAACTCGTCACAGCAAGAAAACAATTATGAAACCAACATTGATAGTGAATTTCACAGGAGTGAGAATATATCTTTTTATGAGGGTTTGAAACATGAAGAAAGATACCTAAAATTTTTAAAACAACAGAGCAAGAAATCATGACTCTATACAATAATAATAATAATAAAAGCATTCTAAAATTTTAAAACAAACCTCTACCATAAAAATGTTTGAATCATTAAAAAAAATTAAATATATTATGCTTTATTAATATCCCTTTTTTTCATATACTTAATGCTTTTAAATATC